ACACCGCTTGGTCCGATGTGGGTGAATGGAGACTGAGCGATTAACTACTGGTTTGACTCGACTTCAACAATTTCTGTCCTACGCAGGTGCGAAAGACTACCCACCTGGACACGCAACAATCTTTTGTTGTCCTACACAGGTCCACTCCCACCCCGTGTGACAGGCAATTGGGAAAGCAAACATGTGTTTTGAGTCTATTTTTAGATTTGCCTCGTGCCGCAGAGATGTTATCCTGCATCCTCGTGCGTTGTTGGCACTAGAGTCGTGCTTTTCATGGTTAGAGACATATTGTGACACCAAGGTAGCAGCACCGCTTTTTGGCTACCAATAGTGGGGTTCGAGTTGGCCATCAAATCTTGATGGAACGGCTTGATGGAAAAACAATTCGCCGATTTTTGGTCAGTCAGAAGTGCCGAAAAAAGGGTGGCGCCGAGTACATTTCCATCAAAACAGATCAGCTTGAACCCCATTTTGATGACCGATGATGATACATACATACGCACATAGCATGAAGCATGTTCTTAGTTGCAAATTCTGTCGAGCAAAGCTTGACGGCGCTCTTTTCCGCTATTGTTCCTTCGAGTCGTTACGTACAGGTCGGACGCGGCGTTGTCGTTTCGAGTGCGCAAGTCGTCGGGGAGCTCGTCTTCGACCCAATCGTCTGGTACAGCGTCGGCACCGCGCTCTCGAGCTTGACTGGCGATCCTTCCGCCATCGAGAAGGGTCGCTTAGTCGCCGAGGAAAGAGCTTCGACCTGGAGACTGAGTGCGTAGCCATGAAGAAAGCGCGTTTAGCGATGGAGACGACTCTCGAGGATGCCAAGCTCGTGCACGCAAAGTTTGCGGCCATTGAAAAGATGGCCCAAGCCCGGGAGGCCTTGAAGAAGGCAGGCGCTACCCATGAAGAAATCGATATGGTTGCGCCGCTCACTATGGAGATTTAATCGCTAATAAGATGGCATGCGACTCTGACACCCGTTCAACCCGTATTTCCATCAAACGTTCCATCAGCATTTTTGTTGATGGAGCATTTGGCCTTCTGAGTGATGAAAGTAGCCAGTGCGGGCGAACTTCGTAGTTTTGATGGTTGATGGAGCTTTATACTAGTAGAGCTTTTGAATTTTGCAGGAGTTTCAGCCAATGAGATCGCTGGATTGGACCCGTTCGTCATTCCATCAAGGTTTGATGGCCATCTCGAACTCCACTAATGCGTGGCTACCAGCGCAACGACCAACGACGCCAAAGCATGTGCAAATGATTCGCCAGCAGATACGCTGTTTCGAGGCTACTGAGGTACCTCAACGCGACAAACAAACGTGCAGAGTGATGTGAAGACCGCACAGCCCATCGCAGTGCGCCACATCGAAGAAAGGCCTCACGACAAGGCCCTCTGCGTGGTGCGCTAGAGTGAGGTTGACGTTGGAGACGTGAACAGTTCATTAACGGAGCTGGTGCTGGTGCTGGCGCGCAACTTCGCTCGCATATCGCACCGCCAACGCGCTCAGGCAACATACACTGGCAGTAATAGCCGGGCAATATCGTCACTCGCTTTCTCAACACCAACGTACCGCTACGACCACTCAAGTGTCTGTATCCGCAATACGACGTCTCTGCTGCGTTGCGATGTTGAGATAGCAGCACATCTCAACGAACCCCCTCAATAATGGGTTGTGTTGATGATGCCCGCCACAATACTGTCCATTGAGTGTTTCATATGAATTCGCGATGCAGTCGTCACTTTGTTAACCGAGCCATTATTGTGCGAACCATCGGATCTATCTATGGAGTGACATGGAGTGCGATCGATCCGGGTGCTCCGCGGCACGTCGGACAGCGCGGTGTGATCGCCAGCCAGTCACGCAAG